TCTTTCCCTCCCCGCACTGACCTGTCTCCCACCTATCCTCTCCCATCCCCTCTGATCTTCCCTGCCATTCATTTACATTTTCACAGAACTGCATTTTGCATATTGGCCATGAGCACCCCAAGTGCCCACCATCTGGTGCAGCTGCCCATGGTGGGGGCTGTGCACCATGGGGAGGGAGTGTGTGGGGGGTTCCCACACACCCCCCTACTCTCCCTCACACCCCACAAACACCACACACTTACACCCTTCCCCCACAACCCTCCCACACATACACACCCCAACATACCCTACTGCCTCCCCACACACACAGCCACGCTCCCCCACAAACCCCCCTACACCTCATACCCCACCATGCACACATCACCACCCCCAACCACACCCCCCACACACAATATACAAAAGTAAGACTTTATTTTTGAGTTATGCAATCACCTCTATACAGTATGCAACACACAAATCAGGACAAAAATATCTTTGGAATAAATTAAAATATGTTATAGTAGGTGTTTGACTTTTAGTGTATGATTGAGGGGGGTTTTTCTGGTTCCAAGATGGCAACCCTCCCCTCCCAAAAGGAGTACTTGGGGGGGGGGGGCGGCAAAAGTTAGGGGTTAGGGATGGGACTTCCAGTCCCAAGATGGTGACCAGGGGGTGGGGCACCTGTCAAGGGGTGGGGCTACCCTTGTGGCCCTTGACAGCTCACCAAAACTCATTATGTGGGCCTTCAGCCACCCCTGCCTTAGAGCAACATAGCTATAACCAATACCCCTGAAACTAGCCACTCTAGCTTCTGGAAACGGCTGCTACTGGCTCTATATGAGACAGGAGACTGGACTAAGTGACTCATATTGATAATTTCTGTATTTTTGCTCTCCAGGAATTTAAATAAATGTGTGTAACCAAAGATTATCTATAGCTTAAGTCCATATCACACAGGTTTCATGCTTTTAAACCCAGTGCTGGAAAATTGCTTCTTAGCTCAACCTAGCTAGTATTTTCCTAGGTGTGGGCAAAGCCATATGCTACTGAGACTTTCTGGGGAAATGACAGATAAAAGTTCAGACAATAGGCAATGATTTATTCATAATGCATACCAACATGACTGTACCTGACTCTTCTGTTTCTTTTGTCTCTGCTGGATCTTCTATCTCATCATCAGACATTTCCATTTCCTCCTCTCTTCGAATACCCATGAGTTCATCATTATGAATGTTACGGATTTCCTAAAGTGTAAAAATACAGTTTTAAATGTCAGATTTCAAGATTTGTTTGCAAAGAATTGTCCTGAGGACTACATCTGCAAATATCCGTCTCTGCTCCAAGAAAAAGGGATGTGAGAAATCCTTGGCATAGACTTCACAGCTCCAGGAATAATTGAATGGGCAAATCAGATAAGGTAAATACCCCTAACATAAAATATTCCATTGTGCTTATCCAGCATGTGCTCACCAAGTGCTGTCTGACCACATGTTTCACATGTGACTGCCTCTGGCCAGTGCTGCCCTGCTAAACACTTTGCCAAACCTTTTGCCAGCAAGATTCACATACAGCACACCCCATAATGCTCCTCACCTTTGGCACTTTGTGCACAGCTGCCCTGTCATGCACTTTATTCATCTATGCCCTAAGACATCCCATTCAGCACTACTCACACACCCCTTAATTAGCACTGCCCTAGGCATGGCATCTTACTAGTGATACTTTCCAAATACCTAACTTAGAGCTACCCACTTGCCTCACCCAGCAATTTTCCCTGGCACATGCTTCACACTCAGCAGTCCCATACACATCCTACACAGCATTCTGCTGTGCTCCTCTTTGAATGTTGCCCTCTCCAAACAGCCCTTTCCCCGCACTGTCCCATCATCCAGCACTGCTGTGACAGACTCTTCACTCAGAGCTACTTTTCTCCCACTGCTGAGCAGCCATGCACCTTGCCTAGCACTACTTAGTAAATGCAGCTCGCTGAGCACTCTCTCTCAGTATGTTCCTCCTCCAGTTACATCTATCTAGCCTGACTTTGGTTAGGGCC